ATTACTTATTATGCGACTCTCGCCTTGACTCCGGACTCGGGACCGGGACTCAAGTGAAGAAAAGGGGAATTCTCGAATGAGGTAGAGAAGAAGTGAGTAAAAACAATCCAGTAGAAGTCGAGTTATTAATTAAATCTGACAGCTTTTGACAAATTAACAGTGCACCGAAATCACTGAGAGGGATACCCCCCGCAACAGAAGTGTGGGCGACTCGTGGCTCTCTCTTCCAGAGGCTTAAGCGCGTTCTCCTGCGGATATCGAGTATCGCAAAGCTCACCCAAACCGAACCCACTCAGGTGAAACTAATGACTCCGATACGAGTATGAGATGGGATCTCAAAGACCCCAAAATGAGATCTCGTTTGCGCCTGCGCAGCATTCAGACCGGCGCAGCGCAGTGCAGTGTTGGTAAACACAAGACAAATGCATTTCGAGTGATTGGCAAACACTGCCAGGCCATTGAGCCATTCATTTGTCCCCCTTTCCATGCCCCGTGAAATGGCCGTATGGATATGGATAATGGCTGAATGCACATTTCGACGCCTTTTCGTGCACTTTAAGACTGCGAGATTGCAAGTGTCCGATAAGAGCTTTTGGCTCGTAAATCGTGATAATTATCGCAGTACAAGTGCCCCGAAGGTTGCACTGCCCCCCACTACCCCAACCTCATCACCAAATATCTTTAAGTTTTCGTGGCGCTTATTAAATTATTAAATGAACCGCTACACGAACAGATTTTGCTGGTGGCTTACACAATTCCGATGCGCGATTAGATAAAAGTCTCGTCAGCTTTGAAGCTCAGGCGAAACGAGTCGCCTAATTAGGCGCCCATAGCTTGTTAGATGGCGATGGGAAAAGGCACCAATTTGAAGGAGACGTCGTGTTCATTCGGGCATTAAGAACATTGTGACAAAATATTTTATTAGCTAGAGAGCAGGATGGGTCGCTAGGGCAAGAAATTGGCAAGAGAAGATCAACAGGCACACGGAGAGAACGTATGGATGTATCCCTAAACTAGAGATTAAGTGCTGTCGAAAAGATATCTATGTGGACTCTGCGGACGGGTCTACTCTTTCTTGAATGTCACACAATTAGAAATCAGATCAGAAACTAAAGCGACGAATTCCACACTTCACACACGCAAAATTTTCAGCAAACATTTCCTTTCCTTTCGCGACCAAAGTCTAAACCAAACATCCGCATGGAGGAAAGACTTTGAGAACTTTTCTTCGTCTGTGACTGCAGTGACAACTGCAGCAAAAGTTTTACGATTCCCGATGGATGGGCGGGTTCTGGAACGCAGCTGGGAGAGATGGGGGAGATGGCAGAGATGGGAGGGCGGGACTGGTCTGGGTACAGGTACTTGAAAAATTAATGTACCCGGTCGGTGTTGGCAGCCAAACGCTTGACTTGTCCTCGAGGCTCGGGAAAAATGCATAGACAAATGTCAAATATTTATTGAAAATAAACAAAACTGGCTAACAAATAAACAAACTGACAAACAAGACGACGATGACGACGACGACGACGACGACACGACAAAGATGGGCTTGCGGATGGGGAAGTCAACAGATTTCCAAGAAAAGAAATAAAATGAAGGAAAGAACAACATGGGCATCAAACTGACCAGAACTGAAGATGTTTGGTCATGCATCGGTGCGTCGCCGCTTTAAAAGCCGGGAAACAGTGGGAACCCGAACGGGCTGGGATCGGAGTTGCAGTTGCATCCAAGTGGATGGTCGGATGGATGGATGGATGGATGGATGCTAGACGGATGCTGCATAGTTTGGTTCTTGTTGGGTCTCGTCAGTGGGTGCTTCAAAAGCCGCTGACCGATGGTGAGAAGAACACATGCTCTGTCCACCACATCCACCACCACCAACAATCTCCTTCCAGCAAACCAACTCCGAGTTGTCTCCTCTCCACTGGGCTACCGGCATTTTCTGACGCGTTCAAGTGGCATCCAGTCCAGGTTCTGGGCTCCAGCTTCAGCTCCAGCTCCATGTTCGCTTGTCTGGGGCTCTTTTCTGTTCGAGTTGTGCTTTGGAAAAATATTTATCCATGCCCGGTCTGGGTCTGGGGCCCGTTGATCGCGATGAGGTCGATGATGATGATGATGATGATGATGATGATGATGATGTTCATCATGATGCCAAGCAATAACTACGGACTGGTCGATGTCGCTGTCGATGACTCTGTCTGTCGGGTTATGCAAGTAATGCTTGATTTGGTATTGAAGACTGGTAGCTGCCACTCGATTGTACTCACTGTGGATGCGAATGTTGTGCCGATGACTCACAAGAAGCATATCAAGTGGTGGGTGATGCACTGAACTCCACTTGGCCTGGACTCCAAGGGGAGCGTGTTGTGGCAAGTAGCATAATTTCAATCAATTTTGATCTGCGTTCACCTTCGGCTAAATGTAGCTGATTGATCCGAAACGGATTGCATGGTTTACACTATCGAATTTGTCTAAAAATGTCTAAAATAAAGCACCTATACCACATCCAAGCTGTTTCAGGTCATTCCTGATTAATTACGAACCATTAAAGGCACACGGGATTGAAGTAGAAGGAGTCTTTCGATCCGATTCAAATCCAGCTGCCGCCGCCAGCTAAAGAAGTTGAAAGCATTTCACTGTTTTCCAGCATTTCAGTCATATCTACACGGCGCAAAAGATACAGAAATATTTGACTATTTTTGGACAGACTGCTATGGATTTGGCTATCATCCTCCGACTGGTGCAACGTCCATAGTCCATAGTCCCCAGTCCACAGTCCAGCCGGCGGCTGTGCTTGTTTTCCTTGTGGCCAATTATGCCACATTGCAGGGGAATTACAGGGGTGCTGCGATTCTCTCTCCTTTCTCTCATTTCCATCTTCATGGCGGTGCTGCTTATTAAGTCGTTCGAATTGCGTTCCAACTTCAAAGATTGCACTGCAATCCAACGCCAATTGTGGGGCAGGGATAGACAGATGGACATACAGAGCAGACAAGCTGCTGTTAAGCTAGTAATCTTGAGTTGTTAGCACTGGGAATCGCATGGAATCGCATGGAAAGGAATGCTTCCTGTCAGAGCACAGTTCTCGTGTCCAATCAATTTTCCCCACTCTTTTGCATAACTAAATTGCGTTCAGTTCCAGTAGCCGAAAAGCAGCATATACGTACACACACTGGTATATCGTAAACTTTATAAAGAGGAGTCCAAAAAAGGCAAATCAAAATCAAAGTTCCCTCGCTCTGGGGCGACCTGACGAAAGCAAGCTGATGCAATTTGACAGCCGGTCCCGGCTACCGAAAAGGAGAATGAAGGACGGATGGATGGATGGAAGATGGATGGAAAAGTAATCAAAATTGTGGCCATAAATAGGCTTCACTGGAGACTGGGGACTGCCGAATGAGCTTGTGGCTGTTCCTGTGTCTGGGTGGTGCGAAGGTTTCGGCAAACGGCTCAATTACTTGCAAAAATGGGGACAAATGGGAGGGTAAAATTAATGGATTGTCTGCAGTGTAAACAGTAATCGAAAGCAATCAAAATTTAAGGACATCTCCCCAGATCAAATAACAGAGACTAAGTGCTGGGACAGTAGAGATTGAAGAGGAACACTTCGGTTAATGAGAGCAACCCTTCGGCATTCCAGCTTCAAAGTCATCAATAATTGACACAAATCACGCAAAAAAAACCCATAAGCCGAAAGCCGAAACAAAGTTGTATAACTTTCACTTCGAATGCGATCTCCGAAAACTAGGCTTGAAAGCCCCCAAAAACTGTTTATAAGCGATCCAAACAAATGCTTTTTGGCCGAAACAGACGGGAAAAGCCTGCCCTGGGCAAAGTTCAAGCATAAAGTGTTAAAAGCGTGAAAGAAAAACTTATCGACAGCTGTCAAAATCACCGCCCAACTCGAGAGGAAACCGCCAAATGGCATTTAAATGTTTTGACAAATGACAAATTTGCGGTAGCCAAAAAAAAAAAAAAAAAATAACTGCTGAGTGGACGCTGTGCTTGGAGTCGAGTGGAGAGGAGTGGAGTAGAGGCTGCGGGTTGCGGGCTGCGGGCTGGAAGTGGCCTTTTCAACGTGTCTGCACCTCCATATTCATTTTCATTTCCATTTCCATTTCCATGCCCCTCCACTCAATCCTCCCCGTGAATATACCACTTGAGTGTACGAATGCATTCACGTTTTCCAGGCGCTGCAGCGCCGACAGCTTAAGTGAGAAAAGTTTAGCTGATTAAATGTTTTGACAAATTGAATGCGCCACAAAAAATGAAAATATTTTCAAATTTGCCGTGAACCTTGACAAGGCTGAGCAGAAAGCGAAAGAAAATGTGAACGTTTCGATATACAAATAGTAGTAATATTTCCTGGCTTGGGCTTTGTTTTGAATCCATTATAATGGCATTCTTCGAGTGATTTAATGGAACTTCTCCCATCTATCCAATCCTCCGCCGTAGCCCACGAGAGCATGCAATTTTAAAGCAATTACGTCAACAACTTTGTACTGTTCGCAAGACTTTTCAACTTTTCGTTGACAATTGCCAAAACAGCAGCGGACTGCAATTTGGAGCTGCCAAACATGCAAATGGCATACCAGTACCAGGTCAACTGCCAGGCAACTGCAGCCAGCTGCTGGTCAGCGATACAGTTTATCTCGAAAGTTGTGGCCTTTATTGTTGCCTGCCATGGCTATCTGTGCACACCGTGAGATACTCGAACTCGAACTCGTACTCGTACAACAACGCTTCTGGTGCAAAGTTCAGAATAGCGCGGACTGGAGGCTGCCCCCTGCCTTGTCACTGATTTATTGGCAGTGTTTTATTGAGGGCTTGTTCCGACTTGTTGGCTGGATCAATTCAATTGATTGGCATGGGAAAAACTGTCAAAGTTTGAACAATCTGCAGAAGTGGATAGATTTCGGTAACCCTCTAAGATTGTACGACTCTAAGACTCCCTTTGAACTTCGATTATCTTAACATCAATTGTACTACTCTACTTTCAGTCCTCCGTTTGCTCAACAGCCAGCAGGCCGATGACGAATCCGCTGGCGTCGGATCATTGTCCAGTTCGGGAGGCCTCTATCCGCCGCTCTTCAATGTGGCACCACGGGCCTCGATCACAGTGAATGCCACGTGTGGGCAGAACGGGGCCGAGGAGTACTGCAAGCTGGTCGACGCCTATCCCCACCGGAACTGGGCCAAGCAGTGCGGCACCTGCAATGGCCACTCCTCGGATCGCGCCAAGCAGCGACCCATCGAGTCGCTAATCTCGCCCGGATCCGGCTTCGAGGAGATCTGGTGGCAGTCCCCGACGCTTCAGGGTGGCCGACACTTCGAGTATGTGACCATCACATTGGATCTCAAGCAGGTGAGTCTGATCAGAGATCATAGATCAGTTGAAAGGAACCCCAGATCGGACTCTTACGCGCGCTGTCATCCAATAACCCAACGATAGAGGCCGCGGAGTCGAGGCTAAGCTCTTGTGACAGACGACAGGCAACAGACGAGAGCTGTGATCCAGTTTGTAATTAAGCCGCTGACTTGTCACTCATTTACAAGCGATTTAACGCCAGCTCCGTGATCCATCCATGTGCATGTCATGGGCTTGTCCCATTGGAACTTTGAAATATGATCATCGCGACCAAGAGTCGAGCTGGAACTGGAACTGCAACTGCAACTGTACCTGAAACCAGTCCCAGCCCAGTCTTCATTCAATTCTAAAGCTCAAAATGGCCAACATAAATTGCTTTTGATGGAGTTTTGATTAAGCCATATTAGTTTACATATTATCGGCAAGACTTTCCCAAGTTGTGGAAGCGTGATTTCCGGGGTGATTGAGTTGTATTTGATGAGATGTATCTGATACAAGCACCTACCGGAAATGCAATAGTCTATATAGGCGCTGAGGTATTTTATTAGCGTAAGGCCCTTAGCATAGGACTCTTTCTCTCCGATCTTCTAGGGCCCCAATCAAGATCAGTCCACCCAGAAAGTTTCTCACACTTCGAATGGATATTTAAAACTCGATCGAGTGCTAATAGTCCTCCGATAGTGTTAATTGGAATTCCAAATTGGAGCCCACTGCCACCCACAACGACTCGTTCTGCCACCCAATCATCCTCGTCGGCATCTGATCCACACTTTCACAACCTTCCCGCAATAAAACGATGATGTGCTGAGCAAAAGGGAAGAGTGAAATCGGGGAAGAACGTACATCTGTTTAACATCAGCGGACACAAAGTTGACATTTCGAGTGCAGCTTGCACTTGAGTCTTCCGAGAGATACATACTCGTATTTCAATGTTTTGATATTATTCTTTCACTGCCACAAGCCCCGGATAGGATCCGATCTGCATCGGCCATAGCGAGGCAGACAAAGACTTTGGCCGGAGAGGCCAAGGCAGAGGCTGAGGCAGGGGAAGAGGCATCGAGTGTACACTTAATTAAAACGAGAAGCAGCCAAGAAGGAGGAACATCCCATCCACATCCACATCCACAGACTGGAAGTGATTCAAAATTAAAAACATTGTTTTTGCATATGCCCCAAAGTATGAAAGATTTATGACAGCCATGCGTATGCGTTCCTCTCCAAGGTTATTAATAAATTCCTGCACGCAATTCCCCCTCGCGAAAGGGAGGGAGAACTCTGCCAGCAGCCTCAGAAGCATTTCAATTGAGTCCTTCACCCCTTCACTTAATTAATTCTGACAGTGCCTAGCAATACTTTTAGATGGAAAAACAGAGACCCAGCTAAAATGTAGCTGTACTAAGCTTTTATGGTTCCACATAGTCAGCACAATATGTATGTAGATGTCAAGCGTTTGGCCATTTGTAAGCTCAATTGTCGCATGTTGAACTACATATTTGGTCAGACATCGACCGACAGAACAACGGAAAGATCTATGGGTTCCCATGATTATCTCGTGTGCACAGAGGGGAAGCTCGAGAAACGGAAAACGGAGTCAAATGAGGGGCATGTGTCAAAATTTACACGCTCTCATTACGTCGATTTGCCTGAGCGACGAAACAGAATATTTCCCAGCCTGTCAGAGGGCTTGTTCGACTGAACTTCTTTGTTGTTTATTTATTTAAAAATGCATAATTTGTTTGCTCTATCGATTAGATAGAAAAGGTCGAAGTCGATGTAGCAACCGGGATAATATAGAATGATCTGTCTACCAGATTTCCATAAAATGTGAGCCAGTGTTAAGTAGGTCGCAAAATAGTTTTCCATACAATACTTCCACAACCCACAATTTTGTAATCGGTATTTTAGTGTTTTTGTATGAACAATATCCAAGTATCCCATACAAAATATAAACGTAATGAAGTATTCTTTGGTCAGTGAAAAAATAATGGAAGAAATATGCGAAATAGTGGAGCCGAAGGAACAGACGAATCCAACGAGATAACGAAAATGATTGGTACTATGGAAAAAGAATGCCAAATCCAAAAATTAGTCAGCCCAACTACCGGAAATTCGGACACCACCAGAACCGCTCATCGGCACGGATCCCGATTCAAGCCGTCTCCTGAAGTCGCAATAGAAGCGGAGCAACAGAAACAGTTCACAACAATGCGGCAAATGATTTACCGGGTCAGATAGTACTCGTACTATATACATATGTATGTTAGAGCGCTTGATTCTTGGCTTATCTCTGTTCTCTTTGTGTTGTGTATTCATTCTGATAAACTTGATCTGTGAATGCAAGTATTTAGCATTTCAGAAAGTACTTTTTCTGTTACGATATTTAATATTTGATTTAATTACTAAGGGCTTTATTCGTATGCAGATCGTGGAAATAATATATGTAACGCTACTTATAGAAATGCAGATAAACTGGGCCGTTACGGAAAGAAGATAAATACTAGCTAGTCGGGCAGATCGAATAAATATTTATGTTCTCTTTGATCCAATCTTGAACGTTTTTGGCAACTATGCTGGCGGCAGTCACATCGCCAGAGCAGTTTGTTAGACGATCCACTGCCATCTCTGATCTGCTAACCACACCGACTAAGCACAGCGCTGAGGTTTCACACGGCACGATCACCCCGGCTCCACTGTCCCCATGACAGAGTTTCTTATCGTCTAGTAGGTTTATTCCCACATCGCCACTGTGCTCTTTTCGCACTGTGATGGCACCGGAGACGCTCGTCAAAAAGCCAGTGGCCGACCAAGAAAACACTTCTAACGATGAACCGTTCAAGCTTATAGGAGTTTTCAGGTCGTATGGCAGACAAACAACTTGCAGATCTTCACGGAGCTTTATATGCCTTTTCAGTATGATAATTCCTAGATCGTGGTTGTGGCTATTTCTTTCATACGCTCTAAAATGGAAGAAATTTGGTAAAAAAAATATGTTACTCGTATGGCAAAATCCCACTACATACATGTACTTTTCAACCAGTTCAACCGCGTAGTACTCTTCAGTAATTGTTATTACCTCGGATCGGTTGCCGGTCGTTCCAACGCGTATTTCGTCTGGCTTCAGATACATTATGCAATGGGCTGCAGTCAATACGACATGCAGTCCGATCAGATTGCCAACACACGCGAATTTATATTGCGTATCGTTCTTATTCGTATAAATGGGTACGACCCAGGATGCGTGATGGGAGTTTGTTGGATCGCCCGATTTGCTAAATGTGACAGCCTTATGGCGCCGAGAGTGGCATCCGTACTCGCACAGTTTAATCTGATTCAAGCACAGGTCCTGCAAGCCCTCCCATACGCCATTTTCGTTGCAAGTTACAATGTTTTTATCACTGGTCAGGTCCGTGAAGCCCTCGGCGCATACGAACTCCACGTGGGTATCAGGAGTCAGGGAGTATTTGTCCAACTGACAATTGACGCGTCTTCCATTCTCGCCGTGCTTGCATATGGGACTCATAGAATAAAGTTTGGTTAGCTCGCTCGGATTGCAAAGCTCTGAAAGTGAGACGGAAAGAACTTGTACTAGGAAAAGATACTTTGCAAAACGAGATTCTTACTGGTGCAGCGCGGATTGAAGTCCTCGATTATCCAATGTTTGTTATGGCATATAATGGTATCGTTAGCGGAGAGGTATGGCAGAAAGTAGTAGTTATTGCGGCACTCGAACTTCACTTGCATATTATGGATGGGTGGTTCGGTGATGGTGGAATAGCCGCCTTCGTGAATTTCGTAAATAATCATGGTCTCATTGTTGTACCAGTTCATTGGACAGCCATTTGTGCCATTCGTGTCCGGGTTTCTGTTCGCGAAGACAGGGTTGGTCGGGTTGTGCCAGGACCCGTCGTTCATGCACACATTCCATACTGTGTGATTTTTTCTCTGGCATTGCAGCTCGGCTGGTTGATTGGCATAGACAAATCGTGTTCCGTTCTTCGAATGGAACTTTGTGTTATTGGTGAATAGGTAACAACCGCCTGGCGGCTCGATGCAGATCATATCCGGGCCTTTTACCCAGTTTTTTTCCCCGTCGCAGACGTTGAACAACTCATCGGATCCGTCCAGGCAGTCGATTTTGTTGTCGCAGATATGCTTTTCATCGACTTTCACTCCGTTGGCACATTGAAAACAGCCTTTGCAGGGATCCAAACAGACTTCAAGGGACTCATCACGGCCATTGCTACAGTCGATACGGCCATCGCATGTTCTATACTGATGCACGCACTCCCCAGGTAGACATTCCATTTCTTCACTACTGTTACACATGCCCTGGACTTTCAAGTCCTTGAATCTTAGTACGTCAACCACACACAATTGCGGCAGTTCATCTGTTCCATCAGGGCAGTCCGTAATATTGTTGCACATTACTGCGTCGATCATTGCTACACCCGAGGCACAGTAGAATTTCCCCCGCTCCATGTACCCCGGGTGAGCCTTGCACTCTGCGAAGGACTCGTCGCTCCCGTACTCACAATCTGGAGTCCCATTACACCGATCATCGAACGAGATACACTTTCCGTCTTCTTCACACTGCCATTCCTTGTCGTTGCAGACTTCCGCTGCATCGCACCCAATTACGAGTATTGCCAGCCACACGAAAGGCTTCCAATTGAACATTATTGTGCTGTGTTCTGCTTCGAATGTTGTTTCTAAACATTAAAGATTAAAAAACATCCGCCTTTATGTTACGTTGTTGATGAACTGAGCAGCGACTCGCGACTAAATCTTCATTTTGTGAGTACAAAATAAGTTCGCGGATAAAAGATAAATGCCGAATTGCCAGCTTCGCAGTACAGAATCCTAAATACCCTTACAGTTCGACCAGAAGTAGTTCATTTTCTCAGATCGGATAGTGCTGAAAAGCCGGAAGTCAAAGAATTCAGGTTTGGGTTTAATTTTTTTAACTAGCGATCTCCTCCTCTGCACTCATCTCCACT